CGAAATTCTTGTTCTAGGCCCTTCCGAACGCTCAAAGCAGGATTAATTTTTTATATAATAATGAGACGAAAATATTATAATAGACTGAAATACTTTAGTCAAACAAGACCCCAGTACGACACTGAACACTGACATGTTGTTTACTGGATACATGTATATTGTACGCTAGTGTGCTCCCTTTTTCGGACTGGTGAGCTCGTAATTTTTTATCAGGAAATATTGGTGGACATCCTGAACATTTTACTAGTTGGTCGGTCGTGGGTGAAATACACATTTTCCCCTGAAAATACACATTTTCATATCTCCCAATACTCATTTCGGTTTTCTGTGGTTGGCATCTCTGCATCAATGATTCTGTATAACAAGATGATTCACTCCTCTCTTTGAACCAATTAAAAAAGTGTCCTCAAAATCCGGTGGTGCCCTCTTCGAAAAAGCGCCTGCTTTGCGAACAGTTACCCTACTTGTGTGGGGAAAAATCGGTGAAACTTACAAGTTTTTGTATAAATTATAATAAAAATTTCGGAATAAAGCCTTTTTAATTCTTTGCTAATTGGCGATGTTTACCGAGGTGGCAAAATGTTAAATGGTTACGCTGACAAAATTCCTCTTCAGGTGGAAGGGGGACTGTTTTCTTTGTTTAAGTTGGCTTTAGAACGAGAGGTCATTGAAATAAAATAAACCCAAAACTCCAAACTGAGCGAATCAGAACAGCTGATGCGCAAGGGGATGCTATTCCTATTCTTCTTCTTGAGAAACGAAAGAGAGCAAAGACTGCAGCAACATTTGAACCAATGTGTGGACACTTTTTTTAGGTGAGTGAACCATCTTATGTACAATCTTTGACCGGGTCTGTGTCCTGGTCGATGGGGACAAGTGTTGTATGCTCTGCGCTGTGTGGGTGGAAAGTGTTAAAGCAACATATCAATGAAAATAAATTAAGAATAATGGTGTCCTCGACGAAGTGTCAGAACTGGAAAGGTACAAAGCAATAAACTTGACTGTGTGGCTCACTTCTTATTTTGGAATTTGTATATGTACTTTTTCAAAATCGATGGTTTCTTCCTCTCTCAGCGTTGTTCTCATAATTCTTTTTCAGATGTTTGACAATGCCATTGGAAAACGACCTCTGAAGATGAAGCAATTCCCATCAAAGAGTGAGTTCATTTCATTGTGTGGTCATACATTTAGATAAGTAGGCAGGAAAGGAGTAAAATACCAATACAGTAGTCTCCGCCTAAGATCCCAACGCTTATGATCCCAGTTCGCTTAAGATTCCCCTGTTTTAAGAAAACATAATTTTTACTATACAAAAGTCAGCCCTAAGATCCCGCTCAGATTCACTCTGAAGGTCTACATTCGGGTAAGATCCCGCATTTCAGATTGTAATTTGCGGAACAAAAACTCGAGCGGGCACAGCCCATCAACCAAAGGTAAAAAGTTGAGATCAATGAATTGCTCGTCACATTAAAGATCAGCCACTCTTGTGAATGTGATCACATACGCGTTGTAAAACTGGATGAAACAGTACAATGTTTGCCCGAGATGGGATCACGCTGGGGTGTGAACTGACCGATTCGTTTGTTTTCCCCCGACCTCTGAGCTCTCCACCTAAACTTAATTCACTTCGCTCCATGCGGGATCATATCGAACTGGAAACTCTTTCCTAACCATTGAAGCAGTTGTCTCTACTCCCGAATTTGCGAGACAGACTGAATTTTAATTGGTGTGGTCACAATGTAGTGGTGCGTAACGATAAAGGCGAGACAGAAGGAAAGCTATAAATTCTCTACAAATAAAGGGGGGTGGCAAGTGGGTACGCGTAGATCTTGAGACTTTCGATAGGATAATGAGTGAAAATGGCACGCCTCATGCCACTATGCACTGTGATAGGTCATCAAGGTTAACCACTCTTTGCTTGCCAATCTTCATAAACCCGCCCAGGGGGCACGTCTGTTCATCTTAGAGTGGAGGGAGACCATTTTACAGATAACCATAACATGGATCACCGAAGATTCTTCCCTGGGTTCGTCGGTTAAGATCCCGGTTCGCCAAAGATCCCATATTTCCTTGCTTCCGAGCACCTTGATCTTAGGCGGAGACTGCTGTATATGTTATTAGTATATTATTAGATTTTTCTGCATCTCATTCTGCATTGCAGTCTATGACTCTTGGTCTATTATATTAGTCTCTGCTTTCCCTAAGATTGTTCATGGCGCCAAGAATCATCATCTCCATTTTCTCTATTTCCCCAACTTAACCGGGCTGTTGCACTATTTCATTGACAGCAGTATAAGGTATAGCCTAACTATTTATTACTGGGTGCTTCATATCTTTTATGCTTTTGTATTATATGCCATTTACCGTGAACTGACTCGAGTTACAATATAACATGGATACCAGTAGCTCGAATTTGTCAAGACCGGCCTTATAGTTCTAGGGATATCTTACAAAGAAGGGGACCGCGGGCACAGTTTGTCAGTTGCATGATTTCAAGTCTTTTGTGTTCAACGTATCTGTGTTATACTGTACTTCGAAGCACAAGAAGTTATTATAAAAAGATTGCTTTGGTCCCAGTGAGTGTTAAAATGAACATTGTCATTTGTTCTCAGAACTAATTCACGCTGACTGAAAAGTCTAGTGGCACAGGTTCCTAAAGTGTACTGGGTTAATTGAAACTGTTCCAATTTTCTTTAACACTGTACAGCCAGGGTGACCAAACTTCTTCCAAAGCGGGCCTGATAACTGAAAGAATGCAGAGCTTTTGTTCAAACAGTAAGCCTACACTGATGTATTAAATGACAGACAGATGTATCGCATTGAAGCTGAGCAAGAGGGTTGTACATTAGAAAGAAATTGCAAATATATAAACGGGTGTTTTATTTGAAGTGTAGGGGTTAAGGGGGCTCGATACTTACGGGACAAAATTTTTAACTAAAGAAAAAACTGAAACAACTTTTGTCACAGGCCGTAAGTATGAGACAAAAAATTCATGTTCAACAATTGACACACGGCGACCATCTTGAAAATTGGATATAATTATTTTTTGTCTCCACCATTTCTACAGTTTTTAACTTTTAAAAATTCTATAACTTGCAAAATGTCACAAATAAATAGATGCTTGCAGCTGGCTCTTTTGATTTTTTGTACTAAACTTAAAGGCACCCTATCACAGCCGACATATCAGCGATACGTCCGCAAGGGGGTGTGGGCCCGCGATATCGGAGATAGTCCGGAAAGAGTTAAGCGCTTCACCATTTCACACAGAAAACCCAAGTCTTATTCCCATGTTGGGAGAAATTTTACACAGTATATCAGACTTTGCATTTCTTCCAGCCCAAGTTGAGCAAAGGTTGAAGCTGGCCTCTATATGAACTAGACTGTCAATGACATAAAAACTCTAGTTTTAAAAAAGATTTTAACAATCTTCCAACCAAGTTTTGTTCCTGCATGGCCATAGTTTGTGGCCTCTGCTGCCGTGCAGCAATGAATCACTTTCCAAATTATTTCAGAAATAGTTGTCTTTTCATTGATGTTTTTTTTTTTTATCAACCTGCCTTAGTAAATACTTTAGTAGTTGTCATAGATTGGTAAAAGAAGTCCAAGAGTTAACTCCTGTGTTCTGTCTTACAGCTGAGCGCAGCTGCACAGGCCTTGTGGAGTTTGAAAGCAAGGCCGATGGTATTGAGGCATTGATCATGGTCAACCATACTCCAATCAGCAGCCCAGGTATGTTATGTAAGGGGTTATCAAAGAAAAGCTTCTGTGCTATGTTCGTTGGCGGGTGCTCTGGTGTGGTTTGCTTCTTCTATCCTATCAAACATCTTATCGTCCTTATCTCCCCTTCTTTTGAAACATTGTGAATACCTCCTTTTTCTTCCATCCTTAGACCCACCCTTCACTTTTCAGTAGTTCATTAACACATTACACCCTAACACGCCCGCGTCTTTTGAAACAAAGTCTCGCTCTGACGAGACTGGGGCCGAGTTTTGATTTATATAGTTATTGCAAAATGTTTCTTTTTCTGTTTGATACCGAAACAAAATGTTTGGGGTCAGCATTTTTAGTATTAAAGCCAATCGAAGTGCGATCAAGTTTCCGACATTCGAAGGTGTCTCGACTTTTGAAAAGAACCACAACTGAGTTTGAAAAAAGGAAATAACAATGGGTTTTTGAAAAAACAAGCATATGACAAATCAGATATTGATGAAAACGTAGCAAGAGTTTGGGGCGATTCAGATTGATCTGATACAGAATTTACATCTAGGGCCTGACCGCGAGGCTGAGAATGAGAGTGACGGGTCGGACATCCCGATTGAACTAAAGTTGGAACATTTCCAACAGTGTGCGCATACATGTGAAGAAAGTAATATTTTTCTGAAACTACATTTCGTTTTCTTTCTAACTTTTATTTTTTCAGGATTTAAAAGAATTTGGTTAGTATTTTTTGTTTTTTAAACACTTGTGTCCACGGGAAGTGGGTTCCTTACCCTTGTGTAGAATCTAGGAATGGACTTCCCGTCCAGATCCTTTGGGTGTAACGTTAATGTATTGAGGGAAAGGCACTTTACACAAATTTTCCTCGTTGTTGAACAAGTATTTGTACCATACAAATGCTATGTATTAATATTATTATAGATAAAAGTTGCTGTGGAAAAGGTCAGTAGATGGTCCTCAGTAAAGTTAAAAATCCGTCTTTAGCACATGATTTTACTTGGGGGGTCCAATCTTTAGACATTATTACTTTTTCTCTCTTGCAGGTGGAAAGAGCCCTTTCATTTTCAAGCTTTGTTTCTCTGCAATGCCTTTGACGATGTAACTTACCACCTGAGGCCAGGAGACTACACAGATGTATTAATATGTTTTGTCTTGTGTTTTGTTGGGTTTTTTTAAAATAAGCATCTGGTATCTTCTTATTTGTAAGTATATTTTGATGTTAGTATCTTGCCTGCCATGAATGTTGTTACCAAAATCAAACATGAAGAGTATGAAACTGTTTTTTTATCCACTTGGTGTTAATTTTTTAGGTCTTATGGTTTGTTTTTTTAAAATTTTGCTCGTTACCTTTTTTTTTATCTTCACAGATTTATTGTCATTTTTTGTTTTATACATAGGTATTCATGCCTTTGGGTCAGAGAGGACAGTAAAATCTCCTTCATCATATAAAATAAAAATAAAAGTCACAAATATAAAACTGAGTTTTCTTCCCTATGTATTCTTGCAAATATAATACATGTATGAATGCTGTGGAGTCTGCTTTAACCAACATCAGTGGGATCGCCCCTTTTTAAATACAATATTATAGAGGTTGTTCAAATACCGCAGAAGGCAATAAGTTAAAGCGCATTATTTTCTTTCGGTTTATTGCAGTTTTTGAATTAACCATGTTTGGTTTTAGCAGACTCCACTTTAGTGTACAGATTTGCAATTAACTGCCAACTGCCATTTTGTCTTTTGAGCCCTCTTTTGTTGATTGATAGTTTGAACTTTAACAGCTTCAGGTACTGAGACCAAGTTGCATTATAATAAATAGCTAATTACAGTCTTGCCAACTGTCCGGGATTTCTTGGGACTGTCCGGAATTTGGCAACTTGAAGGCCTTATGTTATCACTTTTACCAAAACTAGTCACACTTATGTTTTTAGTTTTAGGTAATCTGAAGTTGCAACGATGGGCATCCCTGGTTGAGTTTGGTAAAAAGGTTAGCGAGCGTGCGGTTGGATTACGACAAAGTTTTGTGCAAGCTTTTGATTAATTGCAGCTGTCTTGTAGAAGTTGGTTGGTTCCTCTACGTCAGGATCCAGGTCCCAAAAAATTATAGAGCTTCTCTTCACTGTCTTCTGCATGAAAAGAAAGCAACTTTTGTACTCACGATTTATTGTATTACTTGAGGGGCTCACTCTTTCAGCTGAAGTACCTTATTTAGATTTGGAAAGAAAAATGGATTCAATTCAGGCTTGATGTTCCCGTCTCTGAATGTGGAATCATTTTAGTGTGTTTTGAATAGAGATTTAGTGTTGAGCCAAAAAGACTGCTAAGCCAGTTAGAGGGAAGTAAAAAATTTTGCTCAGCAAAGCTACCTTTTCAAATAAGCAGTCGTTCCTGAATGACGCTCAGGTTTATATATATGTATATTTTGAACAGATTTGTTGCAGTGTGGTGGAATCAGGTGCTTGTCAAAAGAAAAATATGGAAGAAACCATTTTTTCGAGTGTTTTGCAATTGTTAAAAAATTCTTTTTTTCTTTTTTCTTTTTTTTTTTTGGCTCAACATCTAAATCTCTATTCAAAACACATTTCTGTATGGGTTTTACTAAAAACTTTGATCAAAGGCACCATGTGAGTTTGGAGTTTCCAAGGACTCTCAAGCTTTGGAAGTCAACTTTGGCGCCCTTTTCTAGCTAATTTACCGGTGCCACCAGGCTACCCCCACCTCCTTCAATTGCAAATATCTCGACTTCTGTTCAAGTATAGGTATTTTTTCACCAAAATCAAGACAAATGAATAGTCTTACTTTAAATGATATCATCAATAACTCAATACCGTATGCCCAAAAATTGACGAGTACCTGATTCCACTGTGTCACAACATATTGTTTCTGTTGACTATTTGGAAATGCCATCCTTATCGTAGCATTTCTCAGTCTGAAATCTATGGATACCCTGTAGCTGAATGTGAGACTTCTGATGAAATGGAGCACAGCAAAATGCCTTGAGAGGGGGGGGGGGGTGTGCTTGCTCCCTCTTAATTCTTATAAGGTGTAGTCGGTTTTATTCGGTGAAAGAACTTTTTTTTTTCCCAAAAGTTTTAGGGGAGCTTTTATTCTGCAACTAGTGTAGCCAATGTTTTGCTTTCAAGCAGTCCTTAGACTTGGAAAGAGAGAGCAATCTGTACAAACAACAATATCCAAGAAGCCCCCCCCCCTCTCTCTCTCCTTTACTCCCTCCCTTCTCTCTCTCTCTCTCTCTCTCTCTCTCTCTCTCTCTCTCTCTCTCTCTCTCTCTCTCTCTCTCTCTCTCTGTACCGTACCAAATTTAGACCTGTCAGTCCTTGTGCTGCTTGAGTGAGCGTGAGTCATAATGGTGCTTGCCAGCTTTGAGGTCGTCGGACGACATCTGGCAACACAGGATATTTTGCCAGAGGGCCGAGGTAATTTGTGAGGGAGAGAGGTCAAGCAGCCAGTGAATGGGTGTTTTCTGTGAATCTGTGGTATGTGTACATCTGGCGGCCAGTTTGTTGGCGATCGGGGCAAATTTATATTGAAGTTAAGATAAGAATGGACAGTTGGCAGATGGCGGTGTAAAGGCGCAAGTACATGTACAATGTTCATAGTATAGCTAGGCCTATTCCTTTTCGTAAATTGGCAAAACCTGGTGACGCATAGGGCTGGAGGTAAAGCAAGATCTTATTGTACATTGAAAAGAACAGTGGGTAGCTTACAAAATGCAAAGGTGGCGCAGTGGCGGTGGGTAGTGCTGGGCTCATGGGCTTGAGCCCCCCTCAACTCTATCCCAAAGTAAATGAAAGTTTCTTAAATACACATGTAACGAAATAAGCTGTTGATGAATCCGTTATGATCGCACTCAATGAATACAGAGTGGTCAACTTGGCGGCTTGCTCGTTTATCCAATCACTGTTGTCACCGCTTACAACTTTAGTAACCTAACAGTAACAGCTAATCAAATGTCATTAGGGCTCAGCAAAATGAAACTTCTTGTAAAAAGGTAGAAGACTGGATAAAAGAACAATGCACTGAGGGCCCACGCTCTTTTAGCCCTGGCAATTGGGTGAAAGTTTACGACACTTTCCCCCAGTCACACAGCCTCGTACCTACGCTCTCACTGGACCTTTTCAAGTGCGTTATACTTTCTGCGACTACACGCCCTAATTCAGCTCATAGACGGAATATGTTTGGAAGTGTTGTGTGTTTGTGCCGCTGAGGTTTAACAGTTATAAATCACATCGATTCATTTTTAAGGCAACTTTTAAATCCAGAAGAATATAACTTAGAACAAAGAGATGGAAGGCGAAGGTGGCTCTTCTCGTTTGAATGGTTCTCCAAATGCCGTGGCTCACCGTGACTATAGAGAAATCAGTACATGTACTGTTTTGGTCTTACTGCTTGCTATTTTTTATTTGATGGTAAAGAAGTGGAAGTAATTGAAGGCCGCCCCCCCCCCCCAATTTTAGTCCACCCACCGCCACTGAGGGGGCGTCAGTAGCTCAATGATCTGGCCACCGGCACCATAATCGCAGATTGCGGCTTTGGGGGTTCAAGCCTCAGCTTGGCCTGACGCAATGCGCTTTTATGAAAGCTACTTTACATAAATTTCCCATTTGGCTCGGTCCTCTCAGAGATGTCATGGAGGTCCTGCCTCTTAGTCTTAATAAATATCCTAATTGTAATACATGTACAAGTGAATAGTGTTGTTGGGGCGTAGTAAAACCTGAACCATTCCCCATTTTACTGAACGCAAGACTTCGTAGACAAAAGAAGCAGAGGGAAGCGGAAGAGCCATTGACTCTTTGCAGTTTCATTTTCAGTAGATTTCAATTTCATGTTCTGAGCAGTTTACCTCTATTGTGCTGTTTTCGAATAAATACTCTTGTTTCCACTTTGGATTTTATTTGTATTATCACGCGGTGTATTATTTTTAACTAAAAAAACTAAAATGAAAAGAATAGAAATACATGTTTAGTATTGAATTGAGTGTAGTAGGCCTACTTAATACATACTGTGTTGTTGTTAAGTTAGTTGACAGAGCCAATGTGTGAATGTAAGTTAAGTAGGCCCTAAGTAATGCGTGGCCGAAGAGCGGTTCGAAATGTATTGTAATACATGTACTACCAAGAAAAATAACCAACTATTATTGCCGCAGGCGGAAAATGTAATGGGTGGTGGGAACCGATTCCACCTGTTGCATTCAGATTTGTGTCTGTCACGCTCTGTACACACGGCTACGTACCGAATTCAGAATCATTTATCAATACTAGGCCGACCTACACGTGACAACTTGTCAATAACGAAATGGTTCTTGTAAAATAAATCACACCTCAACATGTCTGAGCCTATGTCTTACTCATACTTTGTAGAGTTGTATAATTATATTATTATAATGCAAGTCCTCAGAAGATAGGAGGGGGGGGAGGGATTGGTGTTGAGAAGAGTCCTACATAAGAGAAAAAGCCAGAATCAGCCAGATACCGGTAATAAAAGAAGGCTAGTGGAGATTAATCAATTCCACTGGATGCCCTTCACTTCAACCTCAACTACACATGATGTACTCGCAGGGTAGAAGTAGAAATGTTTTTTAAATGCATGTAGATCTTCTAGTCTCCTTAATGAAAGTTGAAGTCTGGAGAAAAATTTTCGGAGCCACAGTCAACACCCCCGTTATAGTACTCGTACATGTACCTTGTACATGATGTACCGCCTACCAACATGGGGCTGGCGGTACAACGAGGTTTCATGTCCTCTGTTACAAGTAATGTAGCACCGACTTCCGAACGTCTAGGAAACTTGTTTACCAATCACTAGATGAAGTAGAGTTCTGTCACTTGACTTGCACTTGAGTGTGAGCCCTCACTAAATAAAAAAGCCCCATTTGAATTGGCATATATATTCGCCAGATAAGTTATTAGGCTGTTTATATTATATTAGACTGGGCTGCTGGCAATCCGCTGCACTGGGGATTTTTGCTGACTGATTTTCTGAAAGAGCACACTTAGGACTAGATCTACTTACAAAACAAAATTTGCAACAAAATATTGGCAATCTGCGGAGATATTGCCCCTGAATTGTGGAAAATTGTGAAAATTAAGTAACTTTTTTGCTTTAAAAAAAAAAATCACTTTTTGAGTAGCTAGTAATCTGATTTTCTTTAACTTGAGACTACAGTTGCTGCTTTGGGTAAGAAAAACAGTTATACTGGCCATTTTGTGGTAGTTATTTACCTAGCATATAGAGGAGGAAAAAGTTCGTTTTCTCAAAAAATCGAAAACAGCCGCACAAAGTTAGCGTAATAATATACATTGTATTTTCTATTCCCTTCTGGGTATTACACAACAAAGGAAAAACTACACTTGCAAAAAATTTAGTTCAACAAAAAAATCAGTGCCATGCAGAGTTACAGACAGCCCTTAGCAATGCCGATATAGCCATTGGCTATAATTATATGTTTACATGATGTATTCA